TAAGTAAGTTCTAGCCCAGGAGAGGGCTTTCCTAACCGCCCAACCACACACATCAAACTTTTGATCTGTCAACCACATCCATCTCTTGGAAATGGAAAACCACTCCTACCACTCCATCATGTCTCACAATTGAAGCTAGTGTTGCTTGAAATTCGAAGTAGATAGACTTCCTAATCCCAGTAATGACAGTCTGCTAGGAAATTGTCATCTCTTTGGCAGGAAAGACAATGCATACATACCGAGAGAATCTAGTGCTGGTAAAGAATTTATTCAGTCTCACCTCTGTAAATCCTTGCCTTCCAATATTAATGATAATCTTGTCTCGGTTTTCTTCTATGAGGTTTTTCAATAATGAGAAATGAATGAAACCACATCAACTCAGCAAGGCATTGAACCTTGAGCCAATAGTTGTCGGTTAACAGAAAGTTGACTGCTCTGTATTTTTCTTCCAATAATGTAGAAGCAATTGAACTTGGTGAGGCGTTCATTGCCAACAGGTGATCTCGGCTTTTAATGAGAAATCCTTCTGGTGGACTCGCTAGAATTGACTGATGCCTTGTTATACATTTGTAAACATCTAATAACTCCTGCGGAGCAGCAACATCGTCGTCAGAGCATTGCCGCGCAGGACCATCAAGCACATCACTTGGGAAAGTGAACAGCTTGTTGTCTTCTTCACACTCGTCAAAGCGATCTTTTGGTGTGGCTTTAACAACTGCTGCGCTCTGAAATTCAAAATCTGTATGGTATCAATGGACTTAACTCTTGAGACGGCAACATAGATTTACTAATGAAAATAATGTACAACTGCCGAGGCAAGCATCAAACCTTACGACTTATGGTGTGTAACTGCATAGGCCAAAGCAATGAAGAATTGGGTCATGCCTCTGATTTTTTGGCCATTCCTATTTCTTTTTATCCAAGTTTCCCCTTGAATCTCAACCATGCCAACTTCTTGAAAGGCAACCAAAAAAGACATCACCTTTATACTCGGGTAAAAATACAAAGGAAACCCTTTTTTAAATCGTTATTCAGGTTCCCCACTAGCATCACTCTATACAGCCATGCTTTAATTGCTGGACTGATGTTCCTGGCCAACTCATGCTCTTGGACCAGTCGTTTCCAAATAGAGCCTGGAAGGTTACTAAATCACCAGGTAATGCATCAAGCTCCTGTCTGTTTGATAATTGCACAGACACTTCCAATTGATGCATTATTTTAGTCAAGTCAAAATGATGTGGAATGGAGAGGTCGAACAAGGGAGAATAGAACATAAATTCTCCTTCATCGAGGAGGTTGGGAACTGGTTGGAATTGCAAGAATTCACCAACAAGAGTCACTTGTTTACCAGGAAAGGGCAGGGCCTTGTTAAACTCATTAGTTGCAAGTTTCTGGTGAAGAAAGCTTATAACTTCAAACATTCTTCTGCTCGACTTACTGGCTTCATCCCATATAACAACATCCAGAACTTTTATTCTGTCTTGAATAAGAGAATTTCCTGCTGACCTGTCTTCCAGTTGACGCCAAGGTAGATCTGCCATTGATAGACCGTAAAAAGAGTGAATAGTCAACGCTCAGCCATGATCATAAACTTGGCAGGCAATGCCACTCAAGCAAATGACACCTACTGTCTTTCCACCTACCTTAAAACTTTGAATGATCCGTTTCACTACTTCACTTTTCCCCACCTTGCCCTGACCAGTAATAAATGAGTTGTGACCTTGGGAGGCAAACTATGAATTTCATCCTGGTTTCTATTAAGTTCTATCCTAAAGCAAAAGAAATAAGTATTTTACTCCCGATAACCCCTTTTTCATGCAATTCGGAACACAGCAGTTTTGAAGCATTTTGTTTACAGAACAAACACATTTGGCCCTTATGACCTCGTTTTTATGCAACTCGCCCTAGCTTTTAACGGTTGGCAGCCATTTTGGAATAAGGTGTATACCTTAACACAGTTTGTTAAAATTCCATGTAAGGTTTCACTTGATAACAATTACCTTAGTAGATTTAAATGTGCACAGTGTATTTAATTTTTTTTTTTGAATCAGGAAATCCTTAAAGACAGGAGTGAAAACAAAAGGGCCTCCCACAGCTGATTGGTTGGCTTCATTCACCGACATCAAGGCACAACCCCATTGAGTAAAGTCTACCTTAAATCCCAACTGATTGCTTTGTGTCAGGCATATGGTGTCAGAACTTCTTCAAGATCAACTAAGTTAGGTATTGTGCAAGATTTGTTAAATGTCATTCCAGATCATGCATTTATTCCAAAAACAATACTAGTTGATGACAGGCGGTTTAGGATAGTGGAAAGCTCTGAATTTGATGAACACATCAGGATACACTTTCAAAGAGGTAAGCTATGTATTTGAGTGGAAACTTGATGGTACAATTTGTGCTTGTACAAAAAACTTTCAAACTATTCCTACTATTTAAATAGTAAACAGTTTTGTAACACAGCACGATACAGTGCAGTTCAAAAGTTAAAGAATTTCATATTTTAAAGCATAGTAATCTCATATTTAAAACTGTTGTCCCTATAAACATCTTTCACGATCATGGCAGGATTGATTACTGAATTAGGATGCTTTGACAATTTGTAGTGTACTAGTGACTGGAATCCAAGATACATTGATTTTAAATCAAACCATAATTTACTTGAGATGAATAGTTTGCCATCTCTTTGTGTACTTTCTTCTGATGAGCGCATCCAATTATCGAAATTATTTAGCTTTTGAAGCCTTACGTCATTAGTGAAGGTGGTGTAGAGCCTGTCGTTGAATAGTAAGATCAGCTTACTTGTGCGTTCTAACAGGCTGATTACTATATCAAATGGGGAGTCATCCTTTCCACTTGACTTCATACTTTCCTTGCATTTTTGTATAGATACAAGTTCACAGATGTAAGTTACAATGTTGAAAAACAAGAGAATAGAAAAGAAGAGAAATATGCAAAGTAAAGCAAAAGTTACAAAATGCAGAGGAAAATATATAACTAAATGGGAAATATAAGTAAAGTAAATACTTGCATACTTTATTAGTATTCTCCAGGGGGCTTTTCAATACTAAACAGCAGAGAAAATTATGATAAAAAATGAATAAAATTATAAAAAGGGGTCAATTAAAATAATTCTCCAGCATGTGCGTTTTTAGTCTCCCTTGCAGCCGTTTTTTGGATGTCACACAACGTTTCCCCAAAACAACAGCTGCTGACATCCAAACTACATTCCTTTCTCACTGTCCTTGCGGTTTGTTAGCGGTCCATTGAACAGACCAATCACATACCAGAAAATCTGAATCACGCAAGGTTTCGCACGAAAATGTGGATGTGGCAGATAATCTAGCTACTGTTAGTGATCATGTCGATGGAGACACCAAATAAAATTGTAGATGAGACCTCAAAATGTTTCACATGTTCATCCCAGTGCCCTGGTAAAGAAAGAGTATACATTTTTGGAAAAACAGCTCACAATTTTGCTGAAATTATAAAATCTACGCTTAACATAAACGTCAACTGCTACGCCAATAACGACAAGAACACTAAATTGTTTGTTTTCAAGACATCATGCTACAAGCGGTTGTTAAAGTTTCAGTGAGCAGCTGAGAAATTAGAAGAAGTTAACAAAAAGATCATCACTTATATAGGAAAAAAAATCGCACCATTCAAGACCAGTTAGGGCTAATTGGCACTGGACTTGATAATAATAAATATCAGTTTTCTTCAAAATAAATTCATTTGTAATGGCATCCTTGGTAAGATAACTAACATTAGCAAAGTCAATCTCCCTCTTTTGCCACCTTAATTTCTAATAAACCAAAAGGATTGTAGCCATTCTGAACTGCTTGAAGATCATACACTTTGCAGTCTGGGCTGCAGCGAAGCCTGGGGCATTTAGGATGGATTTTTAATCCAGATGGAAACAAATTTACAGAGCCATCCTTGGCTTTGTTGGTATAGGCCATTGCAGCCTTTGGCTCTAATTCTATGCCTCGTCTTATTGGTGCAGTAACAACATGTCAAGAGGGATTGAGTTGTTTAATTAAGTTTTCAAAGTCTCGTACCCATCTTGCAACAAGACCAAACTTACTTGCTGTAATTCTCTTTCTGTGCAGCATGTGCCAAAGACTGTTTGCACTTTGTGTCACTGTTTTCTCTTGGATGTCAAGAGATACCTCTTTAGTCAGACTTAGAGCATCTAAGGAAGATTGCTGTTTTTGTGTTAGGGCAGTTGAAACACTGTTGTCAAATCTGGTTTCAGCAGAGTCCAAAGGTAGTTCAGGGAAGTTTGTACAACTAAAATCATTAATAACGTAATCTTCAGAGAGTTTTGTTGATAGGAAAGAATAGAACTTCTGGGTACTTTCCCATATTTACAATTCTCTAGTGGTATGCTGGCAAGCTTCTCTGCTCTTGGAAGACTAATAGCTATCAATGGTTTGATTTCAAAGTTATCAAAATTTTATTTTGTCATTGTACACTAAAAATCTGATGGAGAGTAAAGGATGCTCTTGATAAATTTGTTGTAATTAGCACCTACTTTTCGGTTTCTTAGTTTCTTAACATTCGATTTAAATTATAATCGCCCTATATACACCCATTTACACATTTAGAGCACCAATCCAAAAAGCAAATTGAAAAAGTAAGAAAAAAGTGCAGTTATACCAGATGTCAGTCCTCTTGCATTTGCAGTTGCCATTGCTGTCAGATATCTTCGTGTAGAAGCTATGATGTCAAAAGCAATTCAGATTACACTTAAAATTCAGAATTAAATCAGAACTTGTCATATTTCTTTGATTTTCATCTAGGCACTTTAAATTGGCAGGATAAGATATACCCACTGAAAATAACTTCACTAGTCAGTAAATTGAATCACAAAGGGAAAGACAAAGTCTAAGCTGTTGGTAGTATAAGCAGATACCTTTCAACTCAGACTTGTAATTTCTGTGAAGGATCTGAAAAGCATAATTGATTTCAAATAATGACAAAAATTTTTTTCTCAGTTACCTCCATCAACTGGCAAAGGCATCAGATCCAGTGGAGTGGATGTGGAGGGTTGTGCAAGTGGCAGTGTAGATACAAGGCTGCTTGAAGATGGGGACAGTAAAGTGGCTCATGATGATGTAGGTGGCAGTGGATAGATATGTGGGTGGTAAAGTGACTGTGGATGCTTGAGATGTTGAAGTGGCTGTTGATGTTGGTGGCAAAGTGACTGTGGATCGTGAAGATGTTGAAGTGGCTGTAGATGTCGATGGTTAATTGACTGTGGATGATAAAGATTGTCTCGTCCCTAGCATAGCAGACACTGGGTGCAGCGTAATTGGGTCCGCCAGATCAATCACAGTGAAGTACGGGGCAGACAGCAGACTCTTACACACGTTTATTGGACTAAATCATGTAATTAGGGTAGCTTACTTGTTACAACACTTGTGGTAAAAACTAAAGGGGATTACACGATCTGTCTAAGCTAAGGAAACTAGCTAAACTATAAATCTGACGACAGAAAACACAAGTAACGATCGTGACTTACGTCTGATCTTGGCTCCGGGGATGAGAAAACTTCAAGTTGCAAAAAAAAAAACTCCGAAAGACTCCTATAAAAATCCTCTTTGCTACAAGGACAACTCCTTAAAAACTAAAATGTTCACTTGAAAAAGGCCCAATATACTTCTATGACATAAAGGAAACTTAACTGAAATAACTGTTTGTGTGGTTAGCCAAAAAAGGATATTTTATAATCACGCAATCAAAACAAAACAAGGCTGTTGATGAAATGAAGCCTTTAAGTGCTACTGTCGTTCTTTCTTTATTCACTCCATCAACAGTGAGTGAATAAAGAAAGAACCACAGTAGCACTTAAAGGCTTCATTTGATCAATATCCCACATCATTACGACATGCTACTAAAGGACACGTTCAAACGTTTAGTAAAACAAGGCTACATTTTAAGAAAACAAGAGGTCCTATAATGTTCTAAAGCGTTCCTTGTACAGCAACGTGACAAAGATGTTGGTGGTAAAATGACTGTGGATGATGACGATGTTGAAGTGGCAGTAGGTTTTGCTGGTACAGGTGCTATGAATGATGAAGATGTTCAAGTAGTTGTAGATGTGGATGGTAAAGATGTTGAAGTAGCTGTGGATGTTGGTGGTAAATTGACTGTGGATGATAAATATATTAAAGTGGCTGTTGATGTTAGTGGTGAAATGACTGTGGATGAAGATGTTGAAGCGGCTGCAGATGTTGAAGCAGCTGTAGATGTTGAAGCGGCTGTAGATGTTGGTGGTACAGGGACTGCAGATGATGAAGGTGCTGAAGAGGCTCCAGATGTTGGTGGTAAACTGACTGTGGACAATCAAGATGTTGAAGTGGATGTAGATGATGAAATGGAAGATGACAAAGCTGTGGTGAAAGAACAGTTTATGCATGTACATGTGGTGATCAAGTGTCGTTATAAATTTGATACATCAGACTGGAAATAGGCCTATAGAAGATTCTCGTAAGTGTCTGTGGAAACAATATAGACATAAAAACCATCAACCTTTCAGTTTTTTCATGTCAAGGTAGGCATTTTGATGTAGCCAGTCTCTGTTACTTGGTTAATATTTGGAAAAATGCAGTAGTCATGCACATCACTATTCCAAGGGTGATGAGATAACAAGTGACCAATTTCTTCTAAAAGTTCTACTTAGTATCTGGAGGTTTATCATTTTCCCATTAATTTGTGCTAGAAGTTGTAAGGCTGCAGGGAAAGTCACCTTACTAAGTTAAGTAATAAAGTAAATGGTTTGAACCCTGGAGTATCAGTAGTTCGTATAGTGTGATCGTCCAGGTGAGTGTAGTTCTGAAAAGAACTGTTGTTGGTGACTGACGTTTCGACAACCTGTGCGGAAGTCATTTTCAGAGTCAAGTAGAGAGTAGGCATGCACATTTGTTTTAGTGGCATTTGCTTTAGATTGATATAGATTGTAGCAGCGGCAGAAAGATTGCATAGTATGTCACATGAAAAAAAGTATTGTACGTTTAAATAATTCAATGTGTACTGGAACATGGAAGATTATTCTCTAAGATGTCTAGACAGCCGTTATTAATACAATTGGCCAATATTTCATTTGATTTTTTTATCAAGTGACAAATGATTGCAAACTGCAAGTTATTTGAAGAATTGCCTTGTGATCAATTTTAAATGCAATAAAGTTAAGTTTTAACTGACTGTTTAATGTTGTTGTTTTTGTCGAGGTTTTTTTTGTTTACTTCATCTGGATCAACCAGATATTCGATGTTTCTTTAAATACATCAAAATTCACCTTGAAAGCGAGGCTAAGAGGACACTAACAGAGGGAATTAAGAAATATCCCTTTCCAGTTTCTCTAAACCTCGCTTTTATGGGGAATTTTGATCTATCGAAAGAAGCTTAATCGGGTTAGCGTGAATCACGAATTTGAGCATGACGATCATGCGAACCGAAAACTACAAGAATTAAATCCTATACAATTCCACACCTTTAATGTAAACTTTGCATTAAACTGATGGAACATTAGGAAAATGTATACTGTATCTAAAAGACTGTAACTAATTCTACACAACAATGCAAATGACTGGATGACGATGGCAAAAAGACGGATATCTGCGCTGTTAACCACTTTTCATTTATGTCAGATGCTTATCCTCTCTACTGGCGACAACTTCTCAATGTTGTACGACATGTAAAGGAAGATTTTAGTAACCTTAGTTTTCTTTCATCCACATTTACATCCAATCTCGCCCCTTTTCGGCATTTCACTGCTTTTATCACGGTTTTTTTCACTCTTTTCCCTGGAACCATTTTTCTAGCCTACGATACAGATTATGTGGGCAGCAGTACTTACCTGCTAAGGTCTTTTCTAGTAAGGGGAGGAAATGCTCTCACCAGTAAGTCTTTGACATCACCGGCACGCTTCTATCTTAACAACTGCATGTAGAAAACTTTTCCAGTTAAGTAATGTTCCAGATAAGAGCTAAGAGAGGTATTACATGCAGCAAAAAAAGCGGAAGATCTCAATGAAAAAGTGCTAAAAGTGTTTTCCATTCAAAAATACTTTAAATTTCATGTTAGTTTGTCCTGTGCTTATCGCTTCGACTTTTGTTTTAGTGCATAAACAATTTCCATTTTTTGCGTTATCGTTTGCCACCTCGTTACCTTTCCTAATTAATAAATGAAAAATTACTTGTCTTCTTTTAAAAGATAATATGTCAAGACAAACTTGACAATCATAATGTTTTCTGGATCCATGTGATCCCGCTCACAGAGCGGGATATTTGCTGCTACTTCCCCCTCCCTTATCTCCTTCGCCAGGAAAGGGAAAACCTTCTCTTCGCAGGAATCAGGTATCAGTACTATTCAGTAGACATAGAGCGTAAAGTCATTAATGATCTGTGGTGAATCACGATAAAGTTGATTTCTTTTTAACAGTTTTTAGGTTGGGAGACATGGTTTTAGATTTCCCCACTGATATATGGAAAAATTACGATACTGATAGTCGTCATAAAATACGTCAGCTATATGGAAGTACTCTGGCTTATCAGCAACGATCATTTATCCTCTATACTGCGTTCCAGAGTCAAGAGTGAGAGTCTATCCTTAATAGTAAAAATGAGTCCCTAACCTCGTTCCCACTACCACTGCCATCACTATGGACACCAGCTCCAAGGAGAGTCCCGCAAATCGTAGATGCGCCCTCCACCTGTTCCCATTTGGGCACCTGTACTCAGTGCTGAATAGGTGTGGCCCCTTGACGTTACTCCATTTCTCTCCCCTCCAGCGGAAGGAGAACACCACTCTTCCTTCCAAAATCCATCTTGGTTTGGTTCTCTGAAATGAAACCGAATGTTCAGTTCATGTTCATATGATATCTCTTCTCATTACTTTTATAATTCAAGCATCCCACCTGGAAATGCATCAGGCCCTGCAGACGCTGGATTTCTCCTTCCTGTAGAACACTGTGGGCGACCGCTCTATTTGTTGAGTGCTGTGGCACTTTCTTCTGCTTTGTGATGGCAATGCAACCAGTCACCGCACAGTGGAGCGCTCTTTCTGGGCACTCGCTTAAATGCAGTGTTAAGTGGAGCCTGCAAAATAATCAAAATGAGGACCAGGGATGAGCCGGCTGGTGCAACTTTTGGATATTTTATTGGCCTTAAATATTCATTAACAGTTGATTTCTTAATTAAACCGACAATATCTTACCGTGGAAGGCTTGTTCCACAGCTTAGTGGGCATATTACTCTCTTATTAGAGCAAAGGGAAGCCGTATGCTCCTCGAAAGATTCCCTTGTTATTTTTCTACTGCATTGCTGGCAAGGGAGCTTGTGCTTTGCACATTGCGCAGTGTGTGCTGCCATCCTCTCCCTTGCCACCACCTCTCTGCACCCATCATTGGCACACGGCATTTGAAATTTTCCACAGGTTTTTAAGTGCTGCTCGTGCTCGTGAAATTTTCCTGTCCATAGACAGCTGCCCTTATTACACTTAACATCAAAGTTTCCTATGATGTCGTCGAGTGCAATATTGATGTGAAGGGTACCTGTTCCGACCAGTGCTTTACAAAGTGGGAATTTGGGGAAAGTCTCAATGCCTATGAGTGTTGCATGGCAGTGTCAACAGCCCGAATGTCCGCAGCCAGGGTCAGGCTTAACCATTGTCGATAGGCTTCAAAGTAAAAGATAATCAAGAGAGTTTAGTACATTCCCTTGCAAAACTAGTATTGATAAGTCATGTTATTCCCTTCAAAGAGACCCCTGCCAGCAAAGAATTCAGTTCGAACAGCTACAATTGTAAAAGTTGTCGGAGGAAAGTGGAATTTAATCATGGAACAATGATTCATAACAAATGCAGAATGTAAATCTAAATGTTTTAAGGCTTCACAGTTGACTTCTGTTACTTGACACATTATTTCGTCTGATCTCTGATTCTTGTTGAATGAGCAAAATTTCTTATCTCAGAATGACAACTGGTGAAGTATAAACTATTTTAGGTCGATCACAGAAGTAAGCAAGTGTGCGCTAATGATTTTCCTCACGTTAATCCCTGGTGAAAATATTTGAAGGATCTTTAAAGATCCTTAAAGATCTTCATGAGGACCTTTGAGGATCCTGTTGAGGATCTTTGGAGAATCTTTGAAGATCTTTAAAATTCTTGTTAAGATCTTCAAGGATCTTTCATTTTCTTGCGAAGATCTTCAAGGATCTTTCATTTTCTTGCCAAGATCTTCAAGAATCTTTTATATTCTCGCCAAGATCTTTAAGGATCTTTTATTTTCTTGCCACTATCTTCAAGGATCTTTCATTTTCCTGTAAAGATCCTTGAAGATCTCGTCTGGATCTTCAAAGATCTTGATAAGAACTTTGAAGATCCTCAAATGATCTTTGAAAATTCTTTGAGGATCTTCTAAATTCTTGTCACGATCTTTAAGGATCTTTCATTTTCTTGCTTAGATCTTCTAGGATCTTTTATTTTCCTGCCAAAAGCCTTAAAGATCTTCAAAGATCTTTACAAGAATTTTGAAAGTCCTTAAAAGATCTTTGAAAAGTATTTAAGGGTCTTTCAAATTCTTTTTAAGATTTTCAAGGACCTCTCATTTTCTTGCCAAGATCTTCAGGGATCTTTTATTTTCATGCCAACATCCTTAACAATCTTGTTGAAAGTTCAAAGATCATGTCAAGCATTTTGAAGATCCCTAAAGATCTTGGCAAAAATATTACAGTTCCTTCCAATTTTGACAAGAAAATGAGCAGAAACTGAAAGATAGTTTATGGGGTGAAGCATGAACTAAACTGCCGAAGATGTTAACTATTCAAGAATGGATGTGGAGGTTTGATATGTAAACTTGGTGTAGATATCAAGGGTGACAATAGGTTCATGGCCAAAACAAACCTCAGAGTAAGTTAAAATGAAAAACTGAACCAAACATCAAAAACTGAAGATAGAACTTTTTTTACTGCTTAATGAGAATTACTTATCCTCTTTTAACACTTAGAAAAGGCCACAAAGAAACAAAGCACTATTTAAATATTGATTTTATATAACTTTTGAATGTCTTATTACGCAATCACTTTTTGACTTGGGGGTGCTCATTCGATGGGGGCGCTTGTTTGATATTATGACCTAGGAGGGTGGGTGCTTATCTGGGGGAAGGTGACTTTTAGAGCCACTGGGTGCTAATTTGAGGAAATACAGTATCTAAGAATAATCATAATCATTGCGTCTGTTTCTTCCTCAAATCATTGCATTTTTGGTTGATAACCCTTCGAATGTCAGGCCACAAGTTATTCATAGTCTTTGCGGAGTATTCCTTACAATACAATCTGGAAGGAAAAAAAAAATCAAAGAACTTGTGTGTCATGGCATTCATCATACAATTCTTTTCACTATCTGCATGAGGACATTGTACTATCTGTGGACTTGTAACAGACTTTCAAACTCACTTCCACCAAAACTGCAACCTCATCTCAACACAACAACTAATTCATGCCCATTTTGCTGATAATTAATTGACAACACTTATGCTAAATAATTGAAATCCTTTCGGGATCAAGTGGTGTCCTCTCATATTTGTCATTCAAAGGGGGAACCATCCCAGCCAACATTTCCTCCTTTGTAAACACTACCCCAGCCAACCTGGTAGCATACCGTGTTGGCTCCTTTGGGGGTGTCTTAAGAGATAAAAGCTGAACTCCATTATAGACCTGGATTGGGGAGGTACAACCAAAGGATTGTTTTTAATTGTAGGCAGTATTGGGCAAAAGAAGAGACAAAATTTATTGGCTGTCAACTCACGAAACAAAATGTCAAACAATAAAGATTACTAAGTCAGAATCTTCTTCATCGCTGTCCACCCCAATGGACTCAACACTCTGCAAAGGAATTACTACTGCTTAGAAGTACAAGAAAAAGCATTTTGTATGGCTATACCCTTAACTATTCTTGTGTCAGGTATATGCCTGTTGAGCATTTGGTAACACACATGTATAGACTCAAATAGAACAGTTCGTGTAATTAAGAGTGCTCTCTTGATACAAGTCCAATATCCACTTGATCTTGTAATTTATTTTTCAAAAGGGGAACACAAATTTAACCTTGCTGGGGTAAGCTTCCTGGAAAAGTGTTCAATAATTGGATGTTAGACTTAAGCATTTTATATTTGTCTGCAGTTTGCCTCTTCTATTCAGCTAAGGCTTATCTCTTTTTTGGAAATTGGAGTAGGGGAATTTGTTACAGCTTCAGGGTATTTTTTACCCTAACTCTGTTTAATTAATAGATCAAGCTTGCTCTCCATGGCATCCAGCCTTGTGATTACTTCAGATAAATCCTGGAATTATAGGTATACCAAATACCCGTAAGTAACTAAATTATCACTGTTCATTTAGGTTTCAAGTTTGTGTTCCTAGTAAACTGCGTCTGACTTTTTTTTGGAAGTGCAGGCTGATACTGGTAGTTGCTTGTCAGAAGCTATAACTAATTGCAGTTAAGACATTTCCCACAGCAAAAAGGGATTGCTCTTTTCCTGAGGACTGTTGCAATATTATGAATGCTGCCAGCTTATAAATCTCTAGTGCTAATGATGACTTGACACAAATTTTGTTTGTATAAAGTGAGAGACATAATTCCTGGCTTGCACAACAAACTAAACAACTTCTCCAATAACATAAAATCAAGGTTGAAAAAAAAAAATTGAAATAGTGCTCAATAGCACAGCCAGCAAAAACAGGGTGAGTGAGTGAGGTTTGTAAGCCACAAAATGATAAGCTGAAGAGTTCCCTGCAATCGCAATTTTCATTTGCTACTTTGTAATGGGATGGCACAGATTTTAAACCTTACATCAACAGAGGGTCTAGCTTCATATGTATTTAAAGTTGCATGAGACCTGCAAAAAAGCAAATAAATTCAGCTGATGATCAGCCTTCTGATAAACACTCTAAAAGGCTATCATTCTTTTTTAGTATATAAAAATTGCTCTAAGTCCAATCTCTTCTCGCTAAATCATGTCAGTAGTAGTCCTGCTCAGGGTATAATCCTCTTCTAATGGCCTGGCATTTGGAGCAAAATCTGGTAATCTGTTAAAATAGGCCATACAACTGTATGTCTATGGAAATGACTCTAAGCTGAAGAAATTCTATTTACCTTTGAAGAGATTCAAACTGGTGATTTGCCGAAACTGCCCTTTCCAGATTTTCTTTTTCTTCGCTTAATGTACTTCCAATACCTTCATTGATGAGACAAGACTCTTTATTTCTTTTCCATGCAAAGCTCATTGAATTAAAATCCCGTGATTGTTGAATAACTGAAATTGCATGCCCTCCCTCTCCCTATAAGTCATGAGTCTGCATGTTCTTGACCACTAATTTCCCTCATAATAAGCCATTTTGCCAGTTATTTCATGTTGTATTCAAAAGTTGCAAAAACGAAGGCAAGCTAGACAAGTGTTCTGCTGCATTTAAAATTGCACGGAGGAGACATTGATCTGTGTTATATTTAAGTAAAAAACACTGCTTCTTACTCCTCTTTTACAAAAGGCTCTCCCTAGGGCTGAAAACTTAATGTTAATTAAGCACTTGTCTTTAGGAAAGTGACTTTGGAATTAATGCATATCAGCACAAAACTTCTCTCTCAAGAAAAATTGGAAACTGGCATGGGTTAAGAGATATTGGTGATACCTTTAAAATTTCCATCTGTGTTACCTTTGCAGTAATCTAAAATTTATCATGGGGTAATTGTATAAGACTTGATGCAAATTAAATACCTTTAGTTTTTTTTGCTGCTACTTCCTTTCCTATTCCTACATTTTTCCTCTTTCCTTTCACCAAACCTGCATGAAGTACATGAAAGGGCTTACAGTTAATTTCCATTGATATTGTAACCTCCTTAAACAATGAATGACTCAGTTAATATTTTGTTTCATTCCATTCAGCTGGTCATAATAATGATCTTATCATGTGCCTTCACTGCTTGAACTTCTTGGAGTAGATGTACTCTCACTTGTGAAGAAGAGTTCTAGTACTTCCTTCTCACAATCATCCTTGCTCCCTGACAATGAGAATAAGTAATATGTTCCATGTTATTTCCAAGGAGAAAGACAAATGCAAATACAAAATCCAATGGACAATAATAAAATGGCTCATCCAACTTTCCTTTGTCTTTCTTATAAAAAATCAATGGCTCGTTGGAGCTACCTCGTTGTATGGATGTTTGATTCTCTAAATTGATGGAAATCTATTTCCAAAAGGCTCTTATTTCAACAGTCATACAACAGTAAAACGTGTAGTAACATAAATTTTTGCAAGTGCACATGCATGATAAGCCTACGTACCATATAATATAAGTTTGGCTGGGAAATACTTCACATCTTTTCCTTTCCCCCACAACACATTTACGGTTTGGTTGTAAGCGTAGTGTGGTTCTCTAATCTGTGATGTCTCTACCACAGAGTACATGTCTTCATCCTCAAAGAGGACTAGGGCAAAGTCCTCATCATACCCGTAGAAAGAAGTACAATCCTCATGAATAGGTGGTAGTTTACCAAATCAAAAATACAAAAAAAAGTTCAAAAGTTCCTATTATCTCTGACCACAGGCAACGACAAAGCTGAAAAAAATTATAAGAGATGTAATTTTGCAAATGAAAAATTTTTCGCTCAGATTTTAGGTTAGTACGAGGATTTTCATTTCCCAAAATATTTAGTTACAGTGCAGCTCAAAGATAAGGGAACCAAAATATATGCATTAAATTCATCTCGAACTAGTCTATGACAAGACACAGACTAGTCTTAACAGATGAACCATACGTATCTAACAGTGGACGGGTCTGCCTAGATGGTATGTATGAGGTAGCCGATTGTTTTCTCCATTGTGGAATGGTCACTGTTCCATTTATTGGACATTGTATTTGCGGTAAAAACTGTTCGTTAAACTGCACCAAACATCCTTCGATGGTCTTGTGTTTCTCAAGGCCATGTTTGTTTATTCACCGCTGTGTTTTTGTTAACTATACCCAGTTTTAGCTCGCCAAAAACTTCAAAAAATGTCATCAAGTTTTGCTATATTTTGCTACAGATATCACTGTTTTTTCCGTATTTACGGGCAATTTTGGTAGGTTTTCAAAGTTTTTGAAAGCGATTTAATCGGTTGCCATGGAAACTGTATTGTTTACACTTCATTTTCTGTTTTAGAAGACTGGTGACTAGTTTTCGGAATACAGGAGACACTTTAAGGATACATACACAACCTTGTTTTGGTAAATTTCTTAGTGTTAAACGAAACAAAAGGTGAAACTGCAATAAGCGTGTAAGTCTCCTGGCCTTTAATAACAACACCACAAACCAAATTCGAATGAAGATTTATCGTAGCTGACGTGCTTGGTACTAAGAGTGTGCATAAAAACAGCGTGGGTTGAAACTAAAACGGTAAAAAAGCAAAAAAGTTACAAGTTGCGACTAAGGTAAATTAGAGTAAGGAAATAACAAAACTGCAAAACGAGGACTGTGAAGTACACTTACATTGTTTCGGCCAGAGAAAACTGCTGTAAAGCGGACTGCGAATAACGCGAAGAGACTTGCAAGAAACTAAACAGAACTGCGCTAAGCGCGGACCAAAATGAACTGCCCAAACTGTACTGCAAAACTACGATATGAAAAATACGCTAGAACATGCGGAAAATAAAAGTATATAAACTTAGAAAGGCGCTAATGAAGATGAAACAGCACAGAAACGCTAACGAGGGCGCGAAAACTGACAGAAAGGAATAAACACCTAAATTAACGCCAAAAAAAGACTAAACAAATGGACGAAAAGAAGTATAAACTAATTTGCGTACGCAAAGGAAAAACAAATTACGCAAGAACGAATAATAGAAAAAATGTTCCACTTGGATCTTACAAAAGGCGATTTGTTAATATTCAATACACGAAGAAGGAAAGTGCAGCGACAAAATCGTTCTAGATCGAGAAAAAGCAAGCAAAAGTAGCGGAGAATCAGAGTGCGACGAAGGCCATGTGGAAACCGCTGAACACCAAAATACTGAGAAACGCTTGCCAGCTTCTGTTCACAGACTCAAGGAATAGTACAGTGATTCTTCTGAAAACTGCACTAGCGAGGAGGAAATTGATTTAGGAGTACCAGAAGGACTTCGTTTTATTAACATTTCAGTTCTTGCCTCCGTGTTTGAAACTGTTCGGTGCCCATTGTGTAAACAAGGACATGCTGTTTTGGAAGAAGAGAAAATGGGCCTAGCATCTCTTCCTATTTTAAAGTGCTCGTCATCGAAGTGTAAATTTGAGAAGCTGTTTTACACATTTAACAAAGTGGTCAACAGCCAGGCGTTCGAAGTAAACAGAAGAGTGGTTCTGGTGACAAGAAATATAGGTGTTGGTCATCAAGGCCTTGTCAAGTTTTGCGGTGTGACGAACATGCTACCACCAATGCAGGAAAATTTATTTCAAGACCATCTCAAGGCAGTGAAGAATGCAGCTCAAACTGCTGCTGAAAAATGCATGTCAAAGGCTGCTGATGAAGTAAAAGGATTTTATGAACCAGAACAAGATGATGTCTACAACTATTGGAGGAGGAGAGGTTTTTCTTCCTGTTATGGTGTTGTCACAAAAAAGGCTACTCTGAAACTAACTGTATTAGAAGAAAGAACATGTGTCGGTGAACTATACTCTAACTTCTTGGACCATTTTCTCCGCTGTCCATTCTCAAGGTTTCTGACTACTAAGAAACCTAATATCTAAAAAAGTATTTAAGATAATCCAATGAAATTTTCCCAGTGCTTTAAGGTCTGTAAAAGCTGTGCAATGAACCACTTAAATGAGATTCTGACCAGTACTTCACCTTTGAAACAAGTATCGAAACAATTTTATTGTAATACAGTATTCCGCACAACAAAAGTCAAGTCATTGTTACAAATAAAGCATATTGAAAATAGAGCAAACAAAGTTCCAAAAATCAAGTCATTGTTACAAATAAAGCATATTGAAAATAGAGGAAACAAAGTTTCAAAAGTTTTTATAATACAGTATAGACTCCAACAGTTTTTCTAACATAACCTGACAAAATCACTAAATTACAAAAAAAATAACCTAACAAAATGGTCAAGTGTTACGGGAAAATTTACTGATTTTTCCCGTGTGTTATTCGAAAGATATTTATTCGTAAACTTTCACATTTAACCATTTCAAGTCCTTTCATGTTAATAAATAAAAAAAATGCATAAAAACCACAGTAGCTTTTGAATAGATTTTTGTTGTTACTTGCTTTCATCACATGCACCTGCTTGTCAGCGCTTTTGTTATTTTTTACATGGTTTTTTTAGGTAAATATAAGTGTTGCTCCTTTGTGTCCTTATTCCAATATTGCGATTTGTGTAACAATAGCACTTCACACAAGTTTCTTCTTAAGCAAGTACCTTGTACAGCTTCGATGATTACAAACTAGAGTATGCTAGAGGTCATGTCGCTTGTTGGCCTGACCTAGAATAAAAGTACTGTGGAACCAAAGATTGTCTTATCCTTGACGTCTGTATAAGCTCGCTCGAAGTAGATCTCCGTGTACCAGGAAATCGTGACGAGTTTCCGTTCTCGCTGCCAAGTCGTCTCTACAGAGTTATTTCCCCCAGTTATTGTGCCGTCCGCGAAGATTCAGTTTTCCTGTTAGTGAGCGAAAACCTATCGTCACACAAGTAAGTCAATGAAGAAAAGCTTGATACTCAGGCTAAATTAAACGCTGATATCCAAAACATTAAAGTTTTCAGTATCAAGCACAAGAGTATGATCCATAAGACTATAAAGCGACTGTCTTTCTAAAACAGTTATTCATAAAGATTACACCAGGATACATCTTTTCGAGTAAAAGGTGATCAATTTTGAAAATTACTTCTTGGTCATCAATCTTAATGACTATCTTCGCAACAACTTTTGTCTGACAGGACTCTGTCTTCATCATGTAGCCACAGTGTTTACAAATGATCATATCTGTGCATGTTGCTTGGATTATACCTTTGCTACAGTGGACATGTTACAAAATAAAGCATATTGAAAAAATAGAGGAAACAAAGTTCCAAAAGTTTTTATGATAGTGTAGACTCCAACAGTTTTTATAACACAACCTAACAAAATGGTCAAGTAAGTCAACGAAGAAAAGCCTGATACTCAGGCTAAATTAAACTGTGATATCCAACACATTAAAGTTTTCAGTATTATACACAAGAGTATGATCCACAAGACCGTAAAGCAACTCTCTTCCTAAGACTGAGTGATCCATAGAGATTACACCAGGATAGATCTTTTCGAGTAGAGGATGATCAATTTTGAAAACTACTTCTTGGTCATCCATCTTAATGACTATCTTCGCCACAACTTTTGTCTGGCAGGAGTCTGTCTTCATCATTTGGCCACAGTGTTCACAAATGATGATATCTGTGCATGTTCCCTGGATTATACCTTTGCTACAATGGAGACACTCTAAATACTTGGTTATCTTCTGTATGGAGTGAACCCCAGTTATTTTGAGGGTTTGTTGTGGCTCCAGGTCTTCGCTATTTGTTGGTAGATCACGTAACAGTTGATTGTCAATAGCTTGAATGGCTGTATGCATAGTGGTTGCAAGCTTCTTTCTTCCACCCCAGACTTTGACTTGAACATTGGCGAAGTTATAAACTTGGTCTATGGAAATGAAAAGAAATTATCGTATTTATTCACTTATAAGGTGCACTCGGTTATAAGACGCACCCTAAACTTTGTGACAAGTGAGTAAAATGAAAATTTCACCTAAATACCCTGTTATAAGGCGCACCCAGAATTATGGGAAATTTTTTTGACCACATCGCTGTACTTACAACAATTTGCTTCCAAAAGTTACTAATTACGGTGCTTTCATTTTCAAACCAAAGGCAAAAAAGTCACACATTACAAACAATAGCAAAAAAGTCACACTTTTTAATTTGCTCAAGTCATCCTTCTCAGGAAACAGCGTTTTAAGTTACAAGATTGGTACTTGGGCGTACCATTCTCCTGGTGCGACTTGGAAAAAGAGTTTTATTTAATAATTATTAGGGAAATTTGGAAAATACTCGATTATAAGACGCACCCCGAGTTTTAAGCAGATTTTCATTGAAGAAGGATATTTTATCTTGAAAAATGGTGCGCCTTATAAGTAAATAAATATGGTATGTTATGTACCAGTCAAATCGAAGCTTAAACATCTCCCCACCCTGGGCATACCCCGAGCATTTGACAGCTGTTCCTGCCCGGGAGGGAGGGCATTTGATTACCACTAAGAGGGTGGGGAATTTTATCGCTTATAAATTCAAAGGAAAAGATTGCGTATTTGTGCCGGATTGGTTGAAAACCAAAGGCATGCACAAGCAGTGTTTCGTATTTGGTGTTTAAGAACTATATTTATATGTATAACATTTAAATAAGTGTTGTCTAATAAACCATGTTAACATGCAGAGCCTCAGAAGTATTATAGAAGCTACTGAAAAGTTAAAACAGTAATCTGGTAATTTTCCCAGTGGGGGCATCTGAACAGCTTTTTGGCCCAGTGAGGGAGGCATTTGAGCAAAAATTTTCCAAAAATTCAAATGCCTAGGGGAACTTCCAAAGCTTCGATTTGACTGGTACATTAACACAGCATTTTTTTTGCATGTTTTAAAAACATTGCAATACCTACCAGTTTTGACGTTCTCAATGTGAGATTCCCAAATATCTATGGGAATCCGGCCAGATCCATCATCAAGAAACACCTCCACAAGGGTAAGTTTTTTGCAGGGACTTCCAACTATATGCTGGTCTTTCAAACCAAAAATCTTGCCTTGAACTGTGACAACTTCCCATTCTTTGGAGGTATTGAGCACATCTAACATTTTGGTATTTGGTGCTTGAGGTTCTGTAGGGGTTTGATGTTGAAACGAATATTCACTCTGTTGTGGAGTACTAATGTTAGTCATGTCATTGACGATAATTTTATCTTTCGCTTGAGTGTAGGTGAAGTAAGTGAGCTTTATAGGAGCATGTCTTTCTTGACTTTGAAGAAGTAGAGGTCTTTTATGGGGGCTATAGAGCAGGGCCTCCACGTTCTTTGTCGCTGTTTGGAGTAGAAAGGTGCAGTAATCCAGAGTATTTCCCCTGTTTCTTCTGGGATTGGATAGGTTGTGGACATATCCGATGGCGGTTTCTTCGACCAACACAACTTTCGGGCCGAAAGTGTCTCCTGGTGCTTCCAATTTCTGAGTGGACAATGGCCATTTGTTAGATGTCGTAGAAGATTGTTTATCTGCTGAAGAAGTCGAAGAGATCTTTTTGGGCGATTCTGTCAAATTCTTGGAACTTTATGAACGATCTGCCGTTGTACCTTTCTGATTAGGCATGGCCAAATCCAGACGACGGACTTTGGTTGGTAAATGACAGGTTAAGTTTTCGAACACGCTTTTATGCTGGAGTTTAGGATCGGAAATTCTTGAATTTGATTGGTTCATTGCATTGTTACTTGCAAACGTTGACCAATGAGAACTCGAGAATTTCGATCCTTGTTCCATGGATCCACTCTAAGCTCAAAGCTCTAATACTTCGCAAAAGATGAAGTAAAAGTAGTTTCAAGTTTTCAAGTTTTCAAGTTTCAAGTTTCAAGTTTATTAAGTTTGCAGGAAAATCTTTGTACAATAATCACCTCCTGCAAATAGCGAGCTAATCTAGGCAGGCGGTGTTAAGGACATACAACACTAATTACAAAAACACGAATTATGCAAAATACTTGATTTTGCATACATTATTTGACAAAAGAGGGAAAAGGTGATAAAAAGTAAATTAATATATTATGTTTGAATTATAATTAAGATGCCTTTTTTATTTCAGAAATAAGAGTGCTAGTGTCAGCATGACTATCCAGACTTCCTAGAGTTGCAAATAGTAATGCTTGAATTTTCTTTTTGAATATGTGCTTCGGCAGACTTCGATAGCTTTCGGGAATACTGTTCCAAATTTTAGCCCCAACGATAGAAAAAGAGTTTTTATGATGATTAAGCCTAGAATAGTTAATACAGTAGTTACCAGAAGATGCTGATCGGGTATTATACTGATGTATGTCTTGTGTAGAAATAAAAAGATTGCAGATATTTTTAGGTGCAGAGTTAGTGGTTATATCACACATTAAGATTGATGAAAGTTTGAAGTAGAGCATTGTTATTGGCAGGATGTTAGATTGCGCAAAATATGGAATCGCATGCGTTCTGAAAGGCAGAAAGTAGATCAAGCGAACAGCTCTCTTTTGGAGTATAAGAATTTTTTCTAAATAAGATTTGGAGGCTTGGCCCCAGGCAATGAGGCCATAAGATATATAGGGAGAAATTAAAGAATTATAAATACTTAGAAGTGTTTTTAAGGGGACAAAGTATCTTAGTCTCGAAATAATTCCAATATTTCTGCTGATTTTTAAAGCAATATAGTTAATGTGATGTTTCCAAGATAAATGTTGGTCAATTATTGCCCCTAGGTATTTAACATGATCCTTACGTTCAAGATCAAAAAACGTTTTAGTGCAGCTATCATAGGCCTTAACGCGGATGTTAAAATTAATGCGTTTTTGATACAGATGAAAAATTATATATTTTGTTTTCTTAATATTTAACGAGAGTTTATTAGCGATTAACCAGCTGACAACCTTAAATAGTTCACAGTTGATGATAGTTTCGAGAGATTTTAGGTTTTTATCAGCATATAAAAGGTTAGTGTCATCAGCAAAGAGATAAAAGGTTAGTTTGTCAGAGGCCATGTAAATGTCATTTACATAAATAAGAAACAGTAGGGGACTAAGTTCACTCCCCTGAGGAACACCGCAAAGGGTATTTTCCTTTCTAGATACTTTGACTACAAGCAAGCTTGTTAAACAAAACTGCGAGAAGTGGTCACTAATATCAGAGATTATATTGCCACTAATGATATTCTCATTAACTTTGTTTGTAAATATATTGTCGATTAATGAGAGAGAATTTCTATGCACACGAGTTGGTTTGTCGATAAAAGGATTTAAATTAAGGCTCTGTAGAGTTAGAAGAAAATCTTGTGCATAGTTGCAAGAATCAAAGGAAAGGAGATTAATATTAGCGTCAGTCATGACATATACAGGCTTGCCAGTAGCTATAAGGTTTTCTGCGGTTTCCTCAAAATACTTTAGGAAAAGCTCAGGTGAATTATGCTGACGATATAAAACTCTGCAGATTATGTTTGCTACATTTGTTTGAAAAATTTCAACCCATAATGCCTGAAAAGCTTTGTTAGAGCTTTTCTCTAAAACTGTGTATCTTAACTCTGAATCAATATACATGCCGACGCCACCCGCTGAAAGAGGTGTCGGGATGTATTCAAAAGTGTAACCTGGAATTTCAGGATTGAAGTCCATAGAATTTGCATTTCTAATTCTGGTTTCGGCTACTCCAATAACACTGAAATGATAATTAAGTTCATCGAGCAAATGGGTTTGGAAGTTTTCGAGATTACCTTTTAAGCTGCTAACATTGTTATGAAAAAAAGATAAATGTCTATCAGAACGTTGTTCATTTAACTGATTTTTTAGCTGACTAAAAACTACGGGGAATAGTATTTACAGCGGATAGGATAAATAGCAGAGAAATCTGTGTCGTAAAATTTACTGTTTACAGAGTTCAGACTGAAGATATCAATGTCATATAGGCTAGGTAATCGTTCAAGATATTTTTTAGAAGGAAGGTTATCATTTGTTAAGAGATTATTTTATTTGCCATGGCACTGGATTATGGAGCTCTGCCCACGGTATGGTAATTCAAGGAAGAAAGCTTTGTTTTGCTTAACTTCGGTTGAAATCGGCATTGCTAAATATTAGAGCACTAAAATCTTCTAGTTGCAGTCATACAAATACTTAGCTGAGCGCTTCCTGCTCATCTTGGATGATCCGAGAGAGATCGTCAGGGCAACGGACTTTTAAAGAACGTGAATCTTCTGATCTGTAAAGGAAAATGGTTCCGTTTTTGACCCAGCAGAACTGAAAACCAAACCTGGTCTTGAATGACTTGGCGTTCCCGTACAACTCCTGCATTCTCGGTGTAAGATGGTCAAGGATTAATATTTTGGACATGTCCTGACTCTCTTCTAAACCAACGTCTCGAGCTGCCACACTCGAGGCATGCCTTCTCGCCGCCATGACATTATTTCTCGCGAGTCTCCTTACGAATTTGCAAATGATTGGTTTGGGGTCGGAGCGAGAAGAGTCATGAAAAGGGACTCTGTGAGCAATATCAATGTCGTTAATAGTAATGTTAGTGCCCATGTGATTGAACAGATTAACGCAAAGATTACTGGTTTTGGAGGCATCTTCATTACCTTTTAGCTCAGGTACTCCGAGAATTTTGATGTTGAAGGCGTAGCTATAATCTTGTATCTCGTTCACGGCAATCTCCAGCTTCCCGAGGTTTTCCTCGATGTCGTCAAGTCGTTTCCGAATACCATGCAGCTCGCTCTGGAAGCTTGACTCAGAATCATGCAGCCATTCTAAGCTCCTTTCCGTCTCCAGTTGGGTTTCCTGATTGCCATTAGTTTCTTCTCTGACAACCAACTCTTGAGAACCAACTCGCTCCTCTAGTGATTTTATATCACATCGAGCAGAATTGAGCATTCTCTTTAGATCCTCATTACTTTTCCTAAGCGATTTGACTTGTTGATGTGACATTATAAGTACCTAAATTGACTTTCTTGAATGCTTTAAGCAGAGCTTCAAAAAGTATGTCTGACCGTTACGCACACATGCGCACACTTCCAGTAGTACTGTACATCGACATTTTTGCCCTTAATATAAATACAAGCAGTGTGCTATGTGTGTTTATCGTAACAGAACTCTTTGAATGATTTCGTTTGAGTACCATCCACTATTTATGCTCTCAATTCGATCTCAATTTTTAGAGACATTGTTTCCTTGGTAGTTTTGGCATACAAGTCATACAGATCGTTGTAGTAACAGGCTGTTTGGAGGTGAATTCATTGTGGTATTGATTATCAGCTAGTGACACAGCAGCAAGCGTCGATACCGTGAAAGAAAAGGTATTGAACTGGAATGTTTTTATTAAATTTACTGTGTCAAGCATTATTTTTCAGCAATGATCTGACGTCATCGTGAATTTTTGAATGTTAATTTTGATTGCATCATGGTCAGAATAGTATACATTGACCAAGTCGTTTTGACGTATATATGATTTAATAAACTGTCAGAAGAAATGAAAGTCGGCTGCTGTACTATTTGTTCGAAATTAAAATTATTCCTCAAAGATTTGAGTTAGAGGTTATCATCAGAATTTCAGTAATTTATGTTGAAATCACCAAGAACTACATCAATGTTATTTGAATTAAATATATGTTCTAAATTGGAAATGAAGAGAGGAATACTGGTGGACTTTTTACGATAAAGCAGTAAGAATGATGGGTTTTGATGATTTATTGAGTTTGCAATCACAAATTTCAAGGCATTGATTGATGAGAAGTATTCATGTTCTGTGATTTGGATATAATCTTTCGTACAAACAGCTAAACTCATAAATTTATCACTTTGATGGTCCTGTCTAAATAAAGCAAATGGTTGCAAGTTTCTTCTTATTTCATTATCTGCATCATTAGGAATTAGTTGTGTTTCTGTGAAAGCTAAGATATCACTGTTGAACATATTATTATCATATCTTATGTCAATACTGTGTTTTCTAAGAGACCTAATATTTAACAGCCTAACTGTGACACCAATATTTGAGACTGCCAACTCATGTTCAGAGGAAAGACTGCTTGTAATTGATGAAATCTTTCATAACCTTTCATATTCCTTGTCTACCTTTGGATTTGCCTTGACATGTTTCATTTCAATATTGCCAAGAATATGAAGTCCTTGTAATGTTGTTGAACAACTTAGTGCAACATGTATTTGGCCATAGTTAAAAAATCTTTGTTTGAGAAGATCAAAGC